AGCAGACCCCTCCTGTCTCCGCACTGCTCCCCTCAGCAGTGGATTCCTGTCAGCCCACTTGTTCTGCTCCCCACTCTGTCTCTGGTGAATCCTCTCACCCCCTATACCTCTGGCCTGTACCACAGTTCTTCTAAGCAAAAAAAAAAAATCGTATCAGTAACGAACCCATCCTCCATGACCATCAGAGCAAAGTTATCATCATTGCACACAGCCTTTACAAAGCTTCCACTCCCACTGGGCGAAGAGTCAGACAAATAGCATCTCAGTTAACTATGAAAACAGTTTTGACCTTGTGGTTTATGGGCCTCAGGGATTCTCAGGAGGTTCAGTGCTCAACTCTATAATCCAGTATCCCCATTTTCTAAAACAATTAAAAGATTTCCTAATATTTCCAATATGGTCACGAAAAGAAACTCACACAGTGTAACTTACCTGTACAAAGGCGCCCTCATCACAAACACCGTGATAAGCAATCTGAACGAGGGGGCGGAAATGCCAGTCTGCTCTGGTTCTGGCAGCTGCGTGTGGAAGCCTCAAGAGGTGTCTGGATCTCAGAACGCTGGCACAGGAGATGGCATATATGATGCAGCAGCCCAGCTGGGTTCAAGATGGTTTCTGGAAGCAAACACACATTTCTGTAATGAAGCGTGGGCTGGTCACATCAAAATGGGGTAAATACAGATGATCAAAAATAGACTACGTCAGGTCAGTTTTTGCCACCAAGCAAATTAGCCAACAACCTCTCCCTTTCACAGCTATTTGGATCTTGCAGGCGTGTGTGGCTGTGACCAGCCCATAGCGCCTGTCGACAAGAGGCCTCTGCCACGGCGGGGCTCACACATACAGAGTCAGAGGCTCCCGTGCTGGCCGAGTTAGAAGTTTAGATATAACAGGCACACAACAGTGTTGTGTCTATTTTTCTTTGTGCTTGACATGTTAAAATAGAACTTTCGCATGTCTAGGATTTTGAGAAATGCCAAGAAGGACCAGCTACATTGTGTGGGGGCTCAAATACCATAAGGGAAAGATGATTCTGAGCATTCTCAGTACCAACTTCTGCCTGAAACTGGATAGGACCTTACGCTGACTCAAGTGCGTTTTCTTTGCTGGAAACTTCAGTCCACTGAAAAGACCCAAAGTTTGGGCCTCCCTGATGACAAATGGGGTTAAGACTCAGCACTATCAAGCCACTGCCAGCCACTGAGGCATGAGTTTGATCCAGGGCCAGGGAGCTGACCCACATGGTATGGAACACCTCTCCTGTTCTGCCCACTGCTCCCCTCAGCAGTGTGTTTCAGCAGATCAGCCTGCTCTGCTTCCTATTCTGTCTCTGGAGAATCCTCTCACCCCCTGCACCTGTGGTCTACACCCCAGCTCTTGCATGCATAAATAAATAAAATAAATTTTTTTTAAAAATAAAAAGAGGAACAGTCAGAGGTAACCTCTGGGACATGGGTGGCACTTAGTCAATTCTACTCACTGATGTTCTGTTGGGCTGATGGGAAAAAGGTCTGGGGGCACTGGCGACCTGGCAGTTAAGTTCTGTCTCACCAGCAGCTAAACTGCTGGTGAGCAGTGACGTCCCTGCAGGAACCAGCAGTTTGCCACTTGCGGCTTTGGCTTAGACCCTAGTCTCTGCTTAGTGGAAGCAGTCTGTGGTAAGAAAGAGGGCAGTCATCTGGCCATGTGTCAGCTCATAAATTCTTTATATATGTAATTAATCCTGTTATTGTTTCTTTCTGTTGTCTGCTTTTGAGTCATATCCTGCAGCTGTAAGCTTGAGGGTGAGGACCTATCAACCAGGTCAACCCCGGCCCCCCATACTGTCTTGCTTCAGTCATACAATGTAAGTGCCAAAACCTGGGCTTGACTCAAGTCTCCCAAACTCCAACATGAATTTCCTTACCTACTGGCCAAACCTAATTATGATGGAACAATCCTCTCCCACTTTCTGGGACATACCGCCATTCAGGTCAGGTGCTCAACTAGTACAGAGGGCAACCTTTTATCATCAACTCAAAGAGGCGAAAAGAGACACCACTCCCAAGAGGTTCAGAAGTCCTGCAGGAGGTGTTTGCTTCTTGCCCTATCAGTGTGGCTGGTCTTGTGGACACCTGACTCCAGGGCAAAAGCCTTGGGGTCCTTGGGGGTCTCCCTCCTCTATCATCACGGACCTACAGCCCAAGTTTTTTTTCTTTTAAGTGTTTGTTTTTAAGATTTTTAAACATCTATGCATACAAAAGTGGGATACAGGTTAGAGGTATGGGGGAGGGATGTGTGAAAGGACTCACCAGAGACAGGGTGGGGAGCAGAATAGGCAGATCTACTGAAACACACTGCTGAGGAGAGTAGTAGGAAAACAGGAGAGGTCTGCTGCACCCTGTGGGTCACCTCCGTAGCCAGGGATTGAACTCGCACTGCTGTGGCTGTGGGTAGCTTCCTAGTGCTGAGTTGTAACCCCGTGGCCACCCCTATGGCCCACATTTTAGTGAAGATGTAGACACCTGGATTCCATGTTTATTGCTAGTGGAAATATAAAAAGAAGCATCTACAGTGGACAAGAGTTTGGCAGCTCCTCAGAAAGTTTTACTGAAAAAGAGTTGCATGGAATGGCCACATGACCCAGCATTCCACGTTAGGCACTTACCAGAAAGAATAGAAAACAGGTGTTCAAACAAACAGTCATTGTGTAAGAAAGCGCACAGCAGCAGCGTTGTTCAGTGTCCCCCAAATGGAAACAACCCAAATGCCTGTCTACTGATAAACGGATCAACAAACTTCGAGCAGTCACACAATGGAATAATGCTCAGCTGTAGCGAGAACTGAGCAAGGATGTGAACAAGCTTGGAATCATAATGCAAAGCAAAAACAAAAGACTATACTTGGTATGATTCCCTTTATAGGAAATATCTATAGGGCTTCCCTGGTGGCGCAACGGGTCAAAGCGCAACATTATGAAGCTAGCTGCAGCCACTTCAGTGCGAGTTCAGGGAGCTGACTCATGGGGCGCAGCAGACCTCTCCTGTCTCGCCCACTGCTCTCCTCGGCAGTGTATCTTAGTCAGTCCACCTGTGCTGTTACTGTCTCCCGTGAATCCTCTCACCCGCTCCCCTCGCACCTCTGGCTTGCACCCCAGTTCTTGTGTGCATAAAAAATAAATTAAAAAATGTGATAAATTAATTAAAATTCCCTTACCTCAAGAAGAAAAACATACCAACACATCTCTGTCCCTGTGCTGCATGTCTTCACAGCGCACATCGCAATCTGGGGTGCAATACAAGGAGCCCGTTTCTGGGGCAGCCCTTCTGCCTGACTCAAGGGCAAGCCACACGAGGGGGCCAGGAATCGCCACTTGCTTGTTCACAATTGTTCCCCAGTGACCACAACAGTACCTGGCATGTCTGTCACCCTGTTGGATCACCTCAATGAATAACGGATGAATGAAGGAGCAGAGTAAGGAGTGGGTGTCCTGGCGAATACACACATCCAGGGGAGAGGGGGAAAAGGGTGTGAACAGGAAAACGCCTCGACTCACCTTCATTCTACCCAAGACAAAATATCCTTTAAGGAAAAAAACATGTATCCCCACAATAATAATTAATCGCCAAATGATGTTCTTGCTTCACTACTTCTTGTCTCTTCCAACAGTTACTCCATTGCATTTTCAAGCACACAGAAAAATTGAATGCACACACACCCTATCACCACAGGTTGCTGTTTACTTTCTCATTTCTTTCTTTTTTAAAGATTTAGTTAGTTATGTGTACAAGAACTGGGGTTTAGGCCAGAGGTGGGTGAGCAGTAAAAGGGCTCACCAGAGACAGTGGGGAGCAGAACAGGTGGACTGACTGAAGTCCACTGCTGAGGGGAGCAGTGGGCAGGACAGGAGAGGTCTGCAGCGCCCTGGGGGTCACTCCCTGGGTGGGGAGTGGGAGTGGCTGCGGATCCTCCTAGCCCCTGCATCACCAGGCTGCTGTCTATCCCTTTCTCCCACCATCCTTACAGCTTCATTTTGATTCACATCCTAGAGGGTTGCAGTCATCAGTCTTCAGCTACTAAGCCCTCAGTATGTCTATCAATTCCTGTTTACTCTTCCTATTTTCTACGTTGAGGCAAAACTCACATGCACGGAGACACACAAACTCAAAGAGTATCAACATTGAGGTTTTACAAATGCACCCACCTGTGTAAACCAAGTAGCAAGACAAACACTCATTACTTTTCCATCATCGAGTAACCTCTCCTATGTTGGGGTCTGAACTCAGAGTCTCTATTTTCTCTTTTGTCTAGAGTCTGTCGCGGAGGATTCTGGTTTTTGACAGTCACACAGTGGGGACCTAAAGAGCCGCTTGGGGTTTGGGTGGTAGGGAGGAGGAGGGGAGGGAAGAGGTGGGGCTCGGATACCAGGCGGGCCAGAAAGGAGGAATGGGAGCTGGGGGGAGGGAAGGGGCGGAAGGGCGGAATCGAGGGCTGTGGGTGAGGTGGGACACAGCCCGGAGCGGCCAGAGCACTGGGGCGTGGCTGGGAGTTGGGAAGTGCCGGTAAGTGGGGACTCAGTAGTTCTGGAAGAGTTGAAGGGGGTGGCAGTGCTGGAGACCGGAGGGCGGCGAGACCCGAGGTCGGGGAGGGGGTCTGCCTGGGGGCTAAGAAATAGAGGGGCTAGAGGGTGGGGGCTGGGGTGAAAGGAACCGAGCGAAGGGGGAGGCTCGGGAGAGAAATGGTGTGGGAACTTCGCGGAATGCTCGGCCCGCCCCCCGTGTGGGCGGCACCGCGAGGAAGTCCGCGACGAGGGGTGTGGCTGGGGGTGTGTCTGTGTATTACGACGAGTACCCCCCTTCGGGCTTTCCAAGGCTCCGTCCCTGGTCCCACCGCCTTCTCGGAAGTGACAGCCTGGTGGTCCAACCAGAGCCTCAGGCCGGGCGCGGCGCGGCCAATCACGCGGCGGGGGAGGAGCTGAGGAGGGGGCTCCCAGGGCCAGGGGAGGGGGCGAGGGGCCTCGAAAGGCTGGAGAGCGGCGACTGGCGAGCCATGGCTCTGGGGCTACAGCGCGCAAGGTACCGGGGTTTGGGGGCAAGAATGATGGGAATTGGAGGGCACTCCTTCTGGGGACCCCTGAGGTGAATGGGGATGCAAGCCAAGGACACCCCGGGACGCTCGGTTGGAGGCAGATCCCGTCGCACCCTCCAACCTCGGGAATCTCAGGGGTGGGAAATTTCCCTAAGTTCCCGGCCGCCCCGCCCCTCTAGACAGAAATGACTTCGGGGGCCCTGTTCCCCGATTTCCTGCCACTCCGCGTTTGCGGAGGGTAAAATTCAGGGTCCTCCTTGGAGTCGGGGGTGCCCGGTTTCTAAGGGAACTCCACATACTGACCCTTCTGATTTCTGAATCCCTAGAACTAAGTTTGATTTTAGACCTCTGGGATTCTCGGGGAGCCAGAATAACCCAATAGCGAGCCTCCTGCTACAGGGAGTTCCTTAGAATGGGATTCAGCTTCTGGGTTCTAGAGAGCTTCTGTGGTCAGGCCGTCCTTGCTGGCCTCTCAAACCGTGGGTTCCCTAGAAATAGCTACAAGAGGTGTTTCCCATTCAGAAACTCCCTGGGATCCTTCCTAGAGAAAGGTAAGGTCACCCTCCTCCCTTTAAAAAAGGGAAAACAAGTCTGACCCAATTCAAGATGCGAGGTCCCTATCTCACTCCCTTACAGCTGTGGGTGCCTCATGGTGGGCTAGGGCCCCACCCAACAGTCCCTGGAAGACCCCGTGGAGGGTGCCAGGCCAGATTCAGGACATGCTGTGATGGTCGCTGCCCTGCCCGTGCCCTGGGGTCTTCCTGAGCAGAGGGCACTTCTGGCCCTCACCTCCCAGCAGGTGCAGATCTGGGCAGTGGGCTCTGGTGCAACTGCCAGGGGTTCTGCTCCCAGACCCCTTGGTTTCCCGTCCAATCTGCAGCATCCAGGAAGCCTCACCCCCTTCCCTCCTCCCTGGCAGTGCAGGTCTGATTGGATCGTCCACACCCCCATTTTCCCCCCACCACCACTAAGCCCCCCCTCCCCCAATCTATTTCTGTCCCTGGCTTAGGGCCCATCAGGGAACTCCATCCCACCCCTTCTGGGCCAACCCTAACCCAGCCTGGCCCAACCCCTCCTAGCGCCCCCTCCTGGCTAGGTGGGGACCCCTCTTGGCTGAACTTGGGCTCTCCCCACTCTCCACAAAGGCCAGCCCTTTCCTGTGGTGTCATCCCAGCCTGGGCATACCACCCACTCATTGCTGGCACCCCGATCCTTGCCACACTTCATCCCCTCCTGCACCCCTACGATGGCACTTGGGCCAAGGGGGCCCTGGGCAATGGTGAGTGGGGCCCCCACATACCTTCACTCCCTCCTCTTCTTCAGCTAGGATTTACAGCCATCCTACGCTCCAGGCGCAGAAGTACTTGGGAAGTCCTTGATGGACAGCTGCACCCAGTGGCCCCCAGGTTAGAAGGTTCCCCATAAGACAGCACTTTGGGGATGGGCACCCCACCAGATTACCTTGTCTTTTGGGAATGAGCAGAGTCAGGGGCAAAAAGACGCATAACTCCAAAGACCCTTCTCGAACTCAAGCCCCACCTCTGCCTCTTAGTACTCTGGGCAGTAACAAGAGGGCTCCCTAACCACAGACAAGCTAAGCCCCCCAAATCCTCTACATTTCTTGCCGGGCCCCCCCTTCTCCCCCAGCTAAAGATCAGAAGAGAGTCCTAGAGCAGCCCTGGATATGGGACAGAACCCCCTCCCCCCCCACTTTCTCCATGTCTGCGCTTTGCGCCTGGGTGACATTTTTTCAGGACTGGGAAGGGGTGGGCTTCTCCTGTCCCAGTGGAGGAAGGCACAGGGCCCAGCCCCCATTTCCAGGCCTCACCCTGGGGCCTCCTGGCCTGGCCCCGCCCCCTGTTCTCTGCTGGAACACAGAGGAAGGGTGGCAGGGCTCCAGCTGCACGTCCTGAGCTGGGCAGAGCGCCAGGGGGCTGGACCAGGGTTGGGCACAGGGCCAGCTGGAGAGACTGGCCAGCTGGGGAAATCCAGAGGCAGCAGCGATGGGGCAGGGGGTAGGGACTGAGGCCACCGCACCGAGCAGGGGTGGGCAGGGGCCCCTCGGTGGGCACGCCTGCAGAGGAATAGCAAGTTCAGATTTCGGCCCCAAGTCAGGCTTCAAATCCCAGCGCCACCCCCCACCCCTTCCTAGCTGTGTGGCCTGGAGCCAGACCATGTGTCTGAGCCTCAATTTCTGATCCTCGAAAATCCCCCCCTCTCCTGCCCCAGATCAAAATGAGGAGGCCTGAGCGAACAGATCTTGGGGGCAGGACATCCCCTCGGTATGCCATTTATTGTGTTCAAGTCAGCATTCTGGGTGGGAGCGGACAGATCTGGATTGAATTCTGGCTGCCACTAAAAGCCCCAAGGCCTCAGGCTCTCTCTCCCTGGGGCAGGGGCAGTTTCCTTGTCAGGAAATGGGGACCGTAATAGTAGGGGGACACCCCAAGCCTGATACAGATCTGGTAGGACCTGGACAGCTGGTCCCTGAGCCCGGAGCAGGGAGCAGGCGTTTCTGCCGGTGAAAGGGAAACCCTAGTTCCTGCTGTACCGGGTTGCGGAGAGGCTGGAATGGGGTCTCCCGCTGCCTGGGTGTTCGGTACTCCAAAGCTGCTCCCACCAGTCAACTCCATCTCTCCCACAAGGGGCTCGTGCTAAAGCCACCTCTGTAGTCACACGCACGCCCCCAGAACCGTTTCTCCAGTGTCCACCAGGCTTATCCTGAGCTTCTTCATCCCCAACATGGACAAAGGAGGGATAATTAAAGTTGACCCCTTATTAGCACCAGCCAAATGCCAGGCCCAGTCCTACTCCTGCAGCCCTCTGACGTTGCCTTGTTACTCTGCGGGCATGGTTTACACTGGTCCAAAGTCACAGGGCCAGTAAGTAATGGAACCGGAGGACCTGCCCGGGCTCTGTTTAATGGGAAAGGCGGGAGATCCAGGCGGCTGTGGAGCCAGTTAGAGGGTCACATTTCCTGCCAAAGAACATCCGGAGAACAGACTGGGAGCTAGAAGGAGGGTCCCTCTGCAGCCGCAGACCTCAGCTGGCTCCTTCTAGGGAGGGCGAAGTCAGCCACAGCCGGGATTACAGAGCCCAGCTGCCTCGGAGGTGGGGGGCCGGCTCCACCCCCACCCCTCCTAGTTCCCACTCCTAGTTCCCTCTGTCTGGGGCCCCCAGCTCAGTGAGGCCCGCCCACCCCCACCCTCTGGGCAGGAAGACAAACAGGGCTGGAACAGAACAGGACGGAATGTCCTTTCCTCTGGGCAGAGCAGCGGGGACCAGAGGCCCCTGCCCCCCACCAGCCAGGAGGGGGGGGTGGGGGGCGATCACTAGCTGCCGCCACTCTCCATCCAGCCTGCCCTTTGTGCCTCCCACCCTGTCGGTCCCTTCTGCGCCCGGATGGGGTAGACCCTTCTCCCCTTCCCACCGTGGAGCGGGTGCGGCTACAGGTCCCCTGACTGGGGGTGAGGTGGATGCCACCCCCAGCAGCAGTCTCCCCTTTTCCTGCATTTCCCTCCTGGGGAGGTCTGCTTTTCCCTGAGGAGGGTCACAAAGAGGGGATTAGAGAGAACCGGAAGGCTGTGGGGTGTCGCTGCCAGATTTCAGACCCGTGCCTGGACCAGCTTGCTGACTCCAGCAAAGGACCCGACTGTGGGAGCCTCAGTCCCCCCCCCCCCCCCCCCCCCCCGCAAGTGTAGGCTTTGTAAGTCTCCTGCCTCCGGTGTTCTAGGATGCACACAGCAGAGTCGGGCACATATATGCTTAGCAAATTACAGCTAGTGATTTTGAGCCATTTTATCAACACTGAAAAGATAAAAAGATTAGACCACATAGCCATATGTCATATAATTCATAAATGTTTTTCTTTTCAAAAACTATGGAGCTTGGATTCAGACAGACCTGGAGTTTGACTTTTAAGTGTTAGAAACAAGAAGCATTTGGAATAAGCCCAGCGCTATAGATACAAAAAATCGCAGAGTTCTGGCTGACCAGTGTTCAAACCCTGACTTCACTACTTACTGACCAGCACTGTGCCCGCCACCCCCAACCCTGCCAATGGGGACAATGTCATAACCCTCCTAGAGTTGTCTGAATGGGTTAATGTAAGTCACATTTGGCACAGGGATGGACATAATAGCAAAAACGGGTTATGTGGCACATATTTCTTACAAAAGGGCAGACACTCCTATCCTCAACCCCAAATGCAAACCTGAAGTAGATTAAGGGCAGACAGAGCTGAGTGGTTAGCTGGGGGCGGACAGAATCCCGGGGTCGGAGTGCTGTGTCACCCTGCCTAGGGCCCCTGCTGGTAGGTGGTTGGACTTTGAGATCTGTGCTCCAAGATTCTGAAGACTCAGCTCAGCTGAGGAGGGGAGAGGGCGGGAGAGGGCTCCGGAAGGCTACAGGAAGGGGGGCCTGAGAGTTGCCTGCATCGTGCTCCTTCCCTTCCCTGGCCCCTATCCAGCTCAGTCAGCCCCTCCTGGCAGGAGGCCTCCCGGTCCCCCACGCGTCCCATCCTGGGGAATAAACTGCAGATAAGTCAGGGAGGGGACAGAGCGCCCCTGGGCACGCCTCAGAGGGGAGTGAGGTGCCGGAGCATGGGCTGTTGTGGGGCAGATAAAAACCCCATTAGGAGCTGCTCCAGAGTGTAACAGGCCCAGAGAGCTCCGAGAACTCGCCAAGGTCACACAGTGAGACCTGCCCTCTGGATCCCGAGCCCCATGTGGCGGCGCCCCACGTGTTTGTCCTGTCCATCTCTCTCCCTTCCCGGGACTCCGCCCGTGAACGCTGCCCTTGCCCGCAGATCGAGCACGGAGCTGCGCAAGGAGAAGTCCCGGGATGCGGCCCGCAGCCGGCGCAGCCAGGAGACGGAGGTGCTGTACCAGCTGGCGCACACGCTGCCCTTCGCGCGCGGGGTCAGCGCTCACCTGGACAAGGCCTCCATCATGCGCTTGACCATCAGCTACCTGCGCATGCACCGCCTCTGCGCCGCAGGTGAGCCCCGCCCCCGGGCGTTCCCTCGCAGGCAAGGCCCCGCCCTCAGAAGGCCACCTCCCGTGGAGGCCCCGCCCCGCGCGGGGTTCGGACGGAGGCCCCACCCCTTTCGAGTTGGGGCTGGCCCCCGCCGGTCCCCAGGAAGCCCCGCCCCTCGGGCCTCTATCACTCCTAGGGCCCCACCTCCCTGGAGCACCGCCCCCTTAGAAATGTGAAAAGTGGGAGGCCGGCTGACTCCCTGAGGCACCACAACTTTTAGCATTTGGCCCTCCTTGTCCAAGGGGACCTTGTCCCCTTATAAATACCCCAGGAGCTTTACTGTCCAGTGTTTGAGAGCCCGCTCCCTCTTCCAGAGCTCCTACTGCTTCTTCCCTTAGTAGCTGGCCATCCTGGAGTTCACACCCAGAATTCCACTCTGCAGGAGGCTTTGCCACACACACGTGCACACATGCACTCTCACGCACACACGTACACCAAGGAATCCCGGGACCCCGAGGATTAACGGGATAGTGGAGTCACCCTCCAGCCGACTGTCCATAAGACCCTGAAAATCTTACTCAGCCCCCTTGGAGTTCTGTTGCCTGGGAGTCTCTGCTCCTTTAGCAGTCTGCCCTCAAGAATTCTGAACCCCTGGGATGTTCTGGCCTTAGGGGATTCTATCCCCTTAGAATTCTGTCTCCTAAGACTCCCACCCCTTTAGGATTCAATTCCTTTGGGAGGGGGCAGCCTTGCCCTCTTCCTTGGGCCTCCATGGTCACTGGATGTGTCCCTCTCCCCTGAGGGTACCTGTTGTTTCCTCTGAGTGAGGGAAGGTGGAGGGGAAAGTAGCCCAGTGGGCCATGGCTAACTAGAGATGCCCCGTCCGCCCTGGCCCACACCAGGGGAGTGGAACCAGGTGGGAGAACCACTGGATGCCTGCTACCTGAAGGCCCTGGAGGGCTTTGTCATGGTGCTCACCACCGAGGGAGACATGGCTTACCTGTCGGAGAATGTCAGCAAGCACCTGGGCCTCAGTCAGGTGAGAAGAGCGGCCTGGCACATGCCTGGCACTGTGCTGGGATCAGAGGCGACTGCAACCACCCCAGCCAGCCTTTTGGGCTCACTGCACAGAGGTGGGACTTGCACCACACAGAAAGGATGGTCAGGGCCAGAGCGAGCACGTAGCGGGTTCTAAGAGCCTGGAAAGGGGGGCGACTGGCTGGCCTTGGGGGGAGTCGAGGGTTTCTGGAAGGAGATGGTGTCTGAGCTGAAACCTGAAGGACTAGTCAGGTAAAGGGCTTAGGAGTGTAGGAAGCAGTGATGACCTGGGCACAGCCAGGACAGAATGTGCAGAGACCAGAGGTAAGACAGAAAGCAGACCGTTTGGGGGTAGGGAAGGTACTTTCATCCTGAGTAGGTGCAGAGTGCATTGGGAGAAGGTGCGAGAAAAAAGCCTAGAGAGGTCATCGGGCTTAGGTAATTTAGGATCAAATTAGGTTTATGCCCTGGGGCACCATGGAAGGCTTTAAACGGGAGAGGTCATGTCAGGCAGAATCAGACCCTTCTGGGTGCTGCCTAGAGACAGGATGGAAGGGAGTGAACTGGAGACTAGAGGCTGGGAGGGGAGGAAGGAAGAAGGTTCCAGTGGCAGAAGAGGGTAGGCACTGGGGCCTGGGGGTGGGAAGACAAGGAAGGACATGTGGGCCTAGAACTCACTCCAGTACTCCCCTCTGCAGCCCGTGAGCGCGGCCCTTTCTGTGCCCAAATGGGCTCTTGTTGGCATCAGTTGCTTTTTCCTGTCGTTTCCCCACTCCTGGCACCAATTTCTCCTTTAGCTTGAGCTCTGGGCCACGGTCCCGAAGCTAGAAGTGGTAGGGCCAGGGCTGGGATCCTGCGGGAGGTGGCACCTGTCAGAGACTGCCCCTAGTCAGCCCCTGGACTGCGAGCTGAGACGGCCCCTCCCTTCCTCGCAGCACTCGGCTCATTTCCTGAACTGAAACAGTGACCTTCCTGACAGGCTTCATTTGAGTAGTTTCACCGCAGGGCCTTTGCACTTGCTGTGCCCTCTGCGGAACAGTACTCCAGAGAGCCGCGAGTCACCTCACTAGCTTTGTTCTGCAGCTTGACTGTCACCTCCTCGATGACACTGCCCCTGGCCGCTGCCTCTAAAATACCATCCCGCCGTTTCATCACCTCACCCTGCTTTGGTTTCTTAGTGTTGCTAATGATATTGTTCTCTGCTCACGTGTCACTTAACAGGGATCTGTTCTGGGATGTGCATTAGTAGGTGACTTCATCATTGTGTGAATGTCATAAGAGTATAATCATACAGAACACAGAGGCATATTCTACAAGTCTGCTGTGCACCAGGCTGTGTACAGGGACCGCTGTTGAACAGATGATCTGTCATTGGCCAAATGTCATTCTGTGAGTCATGACTGTGTGTATCCCATCATGCAGCCATCTGTCATCCAGCCAGTCTTCCTTTCTTCATCCATCCATCCATCCATCCTTCCAATCTAGCTGTTCATTGATAGGGTACACGGAAGGGATGAAAACCCAGTGAGACCACTGCTAAGCATGACTATATATATGTATATATTTTGTTTGTTTCCCGCCTCCCTCCACTCGCCAGCGAACTCTGCACGGCAGGGTTTTGTCTGTGTGGTGACTCTTGTGCCCATGTGGGAGACAGTCGATTAGAAGAGGACCCAGCAAATCCTAGGTGTGGAAGAAATGGTTGCTAAGTGAGCAAGTGAATGAATGGAGAGACTGGCCAAGTATCCAGACTCCGACTGGGTGCCATGATGGGCGGGGGACACAGGTCAGAGGCTGTGGAAGAAGAGCCTTTCCTCCAAGACCCCCCACTTCCCTCCCTCGCAGCTTGAGCTCATCGGACACAGTATCTATGATTTCATCCACCCCTGTGACCAAGAGGAGCTTCAGGATGCGCTGACCCCTCAGCAGAGTGAGTGCCCTGGAGGCCTCGGGCCCCAGGTTATAGAAACTGAAGGCTATTTCCTCATCCTCTGGAATGAGAAATATGGGGAAAGGAGGAGACAGCCCTGTCCTCGGGACCTAAGGGGGCAATCTGAGGGGAGGTGGCCTGTCCTGGGGTCAAAGGAGCATGCCCTCCCCTCCCCCGGGGGCCTCTCTGGTTCCAGGTCTCAGTTTGGGACATGAGATTGGGAAGACCTCAGTGCCAAGGGTGCTGGAGGGGGCAGGCCCTGTCCGAAGCTGCCCAGTGCGACCAACTCCCCACCCCACCCTGACCCTCCCCAGGCCTGTCCAGAAAGAAGCAGGAGGCCCCCACGGAGCGGTGCTTCTCCTTGCGCATGAAGAGTACCCTCACCAGCCGCGGGCGCACCCTCAACCTCAAGGCGGCCACCTGGAAGGTGGGCAGGGCTTGGCCTGGAGGAGGCTGAGGGGCCTGGGGGCTGGCTAGGACTGGTTCCGAGCCTTAAAGTTCTTACCATGAGTTGGTGTCCAGGCTGGGGATCCTGTGGGGTTCTCTCAGGCTGGGTCTCGTGGGTCATTCAGGTACCTAGAAAGTTCGGTGTCTGTTAATTGAGGTCCTTGTACCCTTTCTTAGACTGGATCCCTGGAGCTGGGGAGGGGGGGAGCGGGATCCTTAGCCCCCAAAGTTGGGAGTCACCATGGGATAGAATCTGGAGATCATCAAAACTAGGTTGGGTCTCTAAGGTGCTGAAGTCTGGGGGTTCTAAGCTCCCTAAGTTGGTTTTCTATGGAGTGAGAATCTGGGGGTGTTCAGAACCTCCTAGGGTTGAGGTTTGGGGATTCTTAGAACTCTCCACGCTGGGTTTGCCTCCCTGTGGGCCCCACAGGTAGGTGGTTCCAAGCCTGCCCAGTCCATCACCACCTTGCTGCCCCCACCCCCAGGTGCTACACTGTTCTGGACACATGCGGGTCTATAAGCCCCCAGCGCAGACCTCCCCTGCTGGGAGCCCCAACCTGGAACCACCCCTGCAGTGCCTGGTGCTCATCTGTGAAGCCATCCCACACCCTGGCAGCCTGGAGCCCCCACTGGGCCGAGGGTCCTTCCTCAGCCGCCACAGCCTGGACATGAAGTTCACCTACTGCGATGAGAGGTGGGCAGGAGCCAGCCACCTCCCCTCCCGCCCACCTGCGGATCCTGTGCCCCCTCTTCCCTCCTGTCCGCCTCGTTCTCTTGGCTGTTTCTGTCTCTCCCTGACCCCACCTCTCTTCCTCTGTGGATCTGCCAGTTTCTGAGTTTTCTGTGGGTCTCGTGATCGTTAATTCTTTAGTCCCTTCCTGTGAACTTTCCCTAGCCCCATTAATTCATTTACAGCATTAGAACAGGCCCAACAGCTAGGAAGCCCTCCATAGTTGTTATTCCTCCCTTCTGCTTCCTTTTTCTCTCTTTTCTCTGTCCTTCTTTCTCTTCATTCCTTTCTCCTTTCATATTTCTGTGTTGTCCCAGGAACAGCAACTCTGTTTTTTTTTTTT